AGGATTGCATTTAACAAGCATCGAGATGATGCCCCCCCCGCAACTGCGCCTTCCATGGCCTTCTCAGGCAGTTCTGTGCCATCGGGGGAACCTGAGAATGCAGCTGTGTTTTCTGTCAGCTGAATAGAAGAGCTGATTGGAGACCAGCAGTGGTGCCCAGTCATCTCTATAGTCTAAGAAATTGGAAGCTACGAGCATTTCAATCACTTCAGTTTCACAGGATATTAACAGCAAACCATTTGTAAATTGGAAAGCATCTGATCACACCAAAATCGATCATGGTGAGATTACATGATGTAAGGGCAGAGGAGATATCTAGAGTCTGATAGGCCCCCGATTTCTAAAAAAAAAAAAAAAAAATACCTGTCAATGCCCATTGCAGTCACAGGGGATATTTACATTTCCTGTGATAGCAATAAAAGTGATTCAAAAAATTTAAAAAATGAAAGGGATAGTGTTAAAATAATTAAAAAAAACAAAATATGTAAAAAAAAAAAGTACTCACCATTTGGTGCTATCCTGGCATTTCGGGCCTCCGAAACTGTGATAGGTAGTAAGGAAGTGAAACCTTCCCGCTTTCATTTTGGGGTGTGATTCCACATGTACCCATGGCATGTGTGAGCAATATATCATGCAATTGACAACTTTGTGTAAAAAAAAAATATTTTGTAATTTTCCACTTGTGGAAAAAAAATAAATCTTTCATTGACTCAACATGCCTCTCAGCAGATAGCTTAGCGTGTCTTCTTTCTGAAAAGGGGTCCTTTGGGTAACTTTCACACAAACAATTAATATGCATCTAATGGATTTTTTTTTTTTACCAAAGACATGTAGCAAAATACATTTTGGACTAAATTTATGATGAAAATTTTTTTTTTTGGATAATTGTTATGACGGAAAAGAGAGAATTTTCTTTTTCAACATGTTTGGTCTTTTTTTTTATAGCGCAAAAGAAAAAGTCAGACATGAGCAAAAACCACCAAAAGAAAGCTCTATTTGTGTGAAAAAAGGACATACATTTCATTTATGTACAGCATTGCATGACCGCGCCAATTGTCAGTTAAAGTAGTGCAGTGCTGTATAGCACAAAATGGCTTAAATTGCAGTATCTATATCCATAGTTTGTAGACGCTATAACTTTCACACAAAGCAATCAATATACATTTATTGAGATTTTTTTTTACAAAAAACATGAGCAGAATACAGAAATTTACTAACTTTGAGTTTACTATATATTTTTTTATAGTCGAAAGTAAAAAATATAGTTTTTTTTTTTCAAAATCGTCAGTCTTTTTTTTTTATAGCGCAAAAAATAAAAATGCTCACAGGTGATCAAATACCACCAAAAGAAATATCTATTTGTGTGTAAAAAAAGCACATAAATTTTGTCTCGGTACAGTACTGCATGACCGCACAATTACCAGTTGAAATAGCGCAGCTCTGAATAGCAAAAAAAGGTCTGGTCAGGAAGGGGGGTAAATGCTCTGGAGGGCAAGTGGTTAAGTTATGAAGGTTTTTGCTGTTTATCAACCCAACCCAATCATTCTCATCTGTTGTGAAATGACAACATGGTGAGCCATCAGCTTGTCCTTAGTTCATGATCTCAGAGTCTGTTCAGTGGCATTTTTATATTCCAGGCCTACAATATACATGTCATATTACTAAACCTCTGACTCTTAGACCCATCCATCACACTTGTGCCACTCATCATGTGACTTTGAGGTCCAGACAAGTAGTACCCCATGTTTTCCAATGAGTACCATTCATATCTGTGTGACCTGTAGTCACAGCGACTTGAAAGTAGTTCCTGCATTACTTTTGTCTGACTTTCATGAGACTTGAGGGCCATAGAGATCAGTGTGATCTTTCCAAAAACCACATGAAAGTCACACCTGAATGATATACATCAGACTCGTGTACGGCTTGTGTGCAGTCACCCATGGTCAAAACCAAAGTCACACCAAAGTCACACTCATCAAAGTCACATCAAGTCACACTGTAAAGTTGCAATGAAAATCATACAATTTTTGAAGTTGCACAAGCATTTCAGCATCCCCACTGTTGTTTTCAGCTTGTGTGGGGGCACTTTTGATGGCCAACACCTTTATATATAGAGCTAAAACAAAAATGATAGGTGCCACCACTGTTGTGGTGTTGTTTTTTTGTCCACAAGATACTGTAGCTTCTGTTGAGGAACTGAGCATGTGTGGGGGCCATTTTGATGGTCAAACTTCTATATATAGAGGTGAAACAAACGATAGTTGCCATTTTGCTACCATGGAAACTGAGCACAACTTCCAGCCACTATGTGACCTATTTCAATTCTTTATACTCCTGAAGCTGCTCTGTTTTTTGGAGTGAAACATGTAGAGTTTATTTTTTTCTTCTCTTTGGGTCTTTCTTTGAGAGCACTTTTTGAATGCACATGGTATTTACTCTCCCCCTCTTTTTTGGAGAGGTCTGTACTGTGCTTTATAGTGCATCGTTTGCATTCCTCAAGATGATGAGGTATTTTTGACTGGATATGGTGATGTATGGGGCTTGTCCATTAGAGGCTGGTATTAAGTCCCATGGATGAGTGTACCTGTATTACATATCTGTAGCAAGACAGATTATACTGTCCAACTAGTTCTGCCCATGGGGTGACCTTATCTCCTTAATAGAGATGATATATTCCATCTGATAGGCTTATGATCAAACTACAGAGTCTTCTTTATGCCGTAACTTCATCTACAGTGGTATGGTATGTGATCTGGTCTGGTGTTATTAACCATTTGGATGGAAGGTAAATCCTTGTAATGGTATCCAGTCATACTGTTGTGCGCAGTACATTCCACTCCAATAGGTATTAATTACAGCTTAGCATACATTTTATATATATCTGAATAAAAGTCATATTTTAGATTCAATAATTGGCCTGATGCTGCGTAGGGGACACACACCCTCGTCCAACATAGATTTGTTATTTGCCAACGATGATGATTTACAATTCGGGATTAGTTCAATAGTTGAGTGGCTGTTGTTCCCAGTTGCTTCCACTTTGTTATAATCCCACTAACAGTTGAGCGTGTGAAATATTTAGTAGCCAGGAAATGTCACGGATGGACTTATTGCACAGGTGGCCACCTATCACGGGACCACGCTTGGAGTCACTGAGCTCCTGAGAGCGACCCATTCTTTCACCAATGTTTGTAGAAACAATTTATATGCCTAGGGGATGATTGTATACACCTGTGTATAAATGATTGGAGGGGTGTCCCAATACTTTTGGCAATATAGAGTATCTGGAATAGGTTTATTTGGTAGGGAAGTCCAAGTTGTTTTTACCTAACACTGTATATATGATGCTGAAAAAGTGGTTCCAAATTTACTTAAAGTGTTACTAAACCCCCAACAGTACAATCAGTCTGTAGATGCAGTAAAGCATGCTTGTTATACTCACTGTGGAATCTAAGGGGTTAATCCTCTGCATTGTGTAAAAAGGCTGGTCATTTCAACACGAGGAAGGTCAGGGAAGAAAGGATCCTTTCTTCCCTGACCTTCCTCCTCTTATTGAAATGACCAAATAATACAGACTGAACCCATGGTCAGATGCACATGCCCAGTTTGGTGTGTATTACTAGAGAGGTTTTTTTTTTTTTTCTTAGGAGAGTGCATGTGATCAACACAGGCCAATCAGCAATCTCCAGACAGAGGGTCAAAGGTTTCACATCCTCCTAGAGCAGAAAAAAAACTCCTGCAAGCTTTAACCAGTGCTCTGCTGAAGTCCCAAGACTGCTCTAACTGCTGATGAGAAAAGGTATTTAGCAGTTTATATTTACTAAAATAATTACATTTCCATGTTCTGTATACTGGCGGAGACCAGATATAGTGAATGCAGGATCCAGGGAGGGTATAGTGGCGGGGTCCGAGACCAGATATAGTGAATGCTGGGTCCGGGGAGAGCGATATAGTGAATGCGGGTCCGGGGAGATCGGATATAGTGAATGCGGGGTCCGGGGAGAGCGGATATAGTGAATGCAGGGTCCGGGGAGAGCAGATATAGTGAATGCGGGGTCCGGGGAGATCGGATATAGTGACATGCGGGGTCCGGGGATGCAGATATAGTGAATGCAGGGTCCGGGGAGAGCGGATATAGTGAATGCGGGTCTGGGGAGAGCGGATATAGTGAATGCAGGGTCCGGGGAGAGCGGATATAGTGAATGCAGGGTCAAGGGGTATAGTGAATGCGGGGTCCGGGGAGAGCATTAGTAACCTTTGGGCATTGCCATATAGTAATAACATTTAACCTTTGGGCATTGCCACTATACATGTAACTTATCTCCTTTTGGCCACACTCTCAGAGCAGTGGATGGAGCAGTTGGGTAATATTTCCCCAGTTTATTTGGTATCTTCTAGAGAAAACTTTATAATTTGTTTCCCCTAGGGAACAGTTTTGAAAAAATTATATCTATCCACTTGGACCGGTCCTCTTGTTCCACAACAGTATCAAAGTTTTGGTCCAATGCTAAAAGTTGTGATAGCCGTATATCAGAGCTACCATAGCACCTATATCTGTGACCCTTTGTGAATAAACCATTTAGGTAGTGTGAGATGTGGTGCAAGGGACACAATTCTTCCTGAGCCATGTCCAATTTATTCTATAGGTTTGTAGCATCCACTCGCCTCATCTCCGTAAAAATACATGTACCCTATATATGCCCTTGTTTAACCCCTCATAAAAGTGGTTTGTTTTGTGAAGACCTTGTTCCAGCAGGGCTGAGAATCTAGATAAAATAACAGGGACTCCTGAATATTCAGGCTGTGGTGGTTGTACAACAGAGGAGACCTGAAAGGGAGATCCAGGGGCAGTGATCTGATTACCTGCAGCATCTCCGGGATCTCTTCTGCTTTTTGTAGAGGGAGATCAGGGTGATGGGTCAAACAAATATCCACCATCAGAGGGAGAAGAAGATGGATGGAGAGATATCAACTGTTGTTACATTCCCCCTTCCTGATCCTCCTGCCTCCACCTTACCTTGTCTCCATGACCTCCCTTCATACATTGACCTGGAGGCAGCTGCTGTAGCACATAGTAAGCTTTGTCTACCACACCACAGGTCCCTGTGCAGCACCTCTGACAGGTTTTGTGGCTGAAATGTAGCGGAGATACTCACACATCTGTCACGCTCTGTCCCATGTATGCACCCCTTTCTGTCAGGTTTTAATTCTGTCCCAGTTGGGGATACATCTCTTTATATTATGTCTTGGTGAGAATGATGACTGGGAAATAAAGAGGAGGTAATCACTCCTACATGGACATAGACAGCAATGGAAGCCCAATTTTTTTGCACAGAATAGATGATAGTTCAATGTTATAATGCTTTGTCCCTGTCCCCCCCCCCCTGAACTCCTTTAACACCAAAGCAATTCATTTGATTGAAACCATTTTGTTGTTGTTGATTTTCCCCTAGCAGAGTGAGTTTGGGGTCTGAAAACCCAACAAACTAAAGTGAATTAGAATGACTCCTTCACCCCTATTGAACAAAGCAACTTTCATTTGATTGATTTACCATTTTTTAACCAGAAAAAAAAGAGTTGTTGATTTTCCCCCAAATGAATAAAGGTTTCTGAATGACTGAAAGGTCTAAATATGAAATAAAAACCAAAGTGAATAGATCATGAATGACTCAATATGGATCACCCTTTTGAAATTTCTACTTCCATCCTTGATTCTGTAGAAATGTCATTTTTCTAAAAAAAAGAGAAGTTTGTAACTTGAAAATGAATAAAGGTAATTCTCGAATGACTGAAAGTGTACTAAATATGTAAATCGGTCTAATAAACCATGTTTAATATTCTTCCATTGCCCAATATTCTGTAGTGTAAATCGGTTCAGATTGAAGTTTCTATTCTTCCGTTCTTTGTTCTGTAGTGTAAATCGGTCTCAGTCGATGTTTCTATTCTTCCGTTCTTTGTTCTGTAGTGTAAATCGGTCTCAGTCGATGTTTCTATTCTTCCATTCTTTGTTCTGTAGTGTAAAATCGGTCTCAGTCGATGTGTATATAAAGTTCAGGTGATTGTGTCTCCTCCTGGGCAGATCTGCCGGGTGACTGAGAGGATCTGTTGTGTGCCATGAGATGTTCTCTGCTCCTCTGTGTCTCTTACCTGCTGATCTCATCCTTCCCATCACATCCTATGGAGTTGTATTGGCCCGGAGCTCAGCACCTCGTTGTAGACTTGATATGTTAAAGCCATTGTTTGAGTATGAATATTACCAGGAGGGAGATGTCATTATCGGAGGATTACTCTCTGCTCACCATTCCACCCAATTTACGAGAAGAGTTGAAGGTTTTGGTTTGCCTGGTGCACCTCCACGCTTTGACTTTTGTGAGTCGTAAGTCTCTTTTTTCATCTTTCTTCTCTCTGTATAACTCAACAAAAAAAAAAAATGGTTTGTCTTCATTTTCACAGTAATATTGTATGAACATGTATAGCTTTTATTCTGATATAACCCTTTACATATACTAACATGTATCATTTTATATTAACCCACTACTAAAAACATACATCTATCGGTACCGGCACAATTCTGCCAATTGATGCTGGGAAGGGCTATGGCAGTTGTGCAGCAGCTCCTTGTGGCTTAGTGGTGGGCAGCACAGTGGCTCAGTGGTTAGTATTCCTTCTCTGAAGCACTAAAGTCCTTGGCATGATTCCCAACTAGGAGAAGGAAGAATATCCATCTATCCTTCTCCTCTCTGACGAATGATGCCGGAAGCTATGAGGACTTTGATCATTTCCAGGTTACTGATCTGTGTTTGATCAGATGCTTCGGGAGGGCAGAGGAGGGATCAGGGCTACAATAGATCCCTACACTCTTCATAAAGAGTACCTGTCACTGTCCGAGCATTCACAAAGGATGTTGTTCACCTTTTGCCCTACTAAACTGGGCCGCTGTGATCCCAGGTGTAACAGTCTCCTCTCCATATATATTAATTCAAATGCCCCAAAATATTTAAAAGCCAGAGAAAAGCTCTCACAAACAATGTACACTGTATCCCAATGAACTCAGATATATTGCCTCCATAAAAGCTGTATTGCCCCCTTAAGTAATACATAGACATTGGTACATGTGGAAAAACCTCATTTCTGGTAACGACCCCGGAGTGATGACATCATCATCAAAGGGCCGCGCTCCTGCTGTATTTGGTAATTTTACTGCAACTTTTTCTAAGGAAGACAGCCGTAACACTGTTCCTGTGCTATGTATACCAGCTTCCTATTTAGAATCACCAAGATTAAAATGTTGCCTATATGAATAATTGTAAGCACTGTAGTTTGTCGCCATTTTACAGGAATGAACAGTTGTAAATCTTGACATGTTTGCTATCTATTTACTAGATGCAACATTATCTTTTATATTTAACTAAAAAATTGGGTATTATTTTGTGTTTGTGTGCATTAAAAATCATTTAGGTGTATTTTTTTTTTTAAATTGTAAAAAATCTATGATGTTTGGAGGTTCAAAGTACTTTTGTAGAAAAAGAAAAATCTGATACCAACCTGTATGTGATGTCATAACTATTCTGGATGGCAAGTGGTTATGTTGTCCTAATAAACCTAGATACAGTATTCATCCATTCTGCAAAACAACTTAGAAAGGACATTCCTCATAGTATCCATAAAAGCATCAAGAGACCTGGTCTGACTTGTTAGAATGTCCTACAGGGCTTCCTTCCCTTTACCAACATGGTGCACATTGAGCCATCCCTTACAGGTCTCACACCTTGCACAATGTGACCAGTCCACAACACAATGGTTCAATGTTATGGCACCACATGCAAGGAATGCACACCTACTAACATCAGACCACAAAGGCAGTGATGGTCACATATACAGTAGTTCAGGTGGGCTGTGCAGCTCAGCTTGTGGATAACAACCAGCAATCCACCATCCAGACCTAATACACAGCCCGCTCCTATTCACAATGGACCTCCAGAATTAAAGCCAATCTCAGTGCTGCTAGAATCCCTCTGCTGAAAAGCTGGGAGAAGAACCAGGACATGCACATATAGCTCCATATATATTAGTATATATATATATATAATATATATATAGGGCGGCACAGTGGGCTTTGAAGTGCCTTGCAGTAATTGGGGTCATGGGTTCGTATTCCCAACCATGGCGCCTCCTGCATGGAGTTTGCATGCTCTCCCTGTGCTTGCGTGGGTTTCCTCCGGGTACTTTCGCTTCGGTTTTCCTCCCACATTCCAAAACATGCTGGTAGGTTAATTGGCTCCTGTCTAAATTGTCCTAGTTTCATTCCCTGGCCATGCAGGATCTCCTGCATGGTAGGGGTTGGGAAAAGATCTGGCAACCTTACCCTTATAATAATTGCTAAGAAGAATTCATGGAAAAAGAAGCTTACGAGTGACGGTCCATGCAATCGCCAAGGGTCGGATACAACCATGAATGGATATATATACAGTTGCAAGAAAAAGTATGTGACACCCCATGGGATTACGTGGAGTTTTGCATGAATTGGGCATAAAATGTGCTTACTGAACGTCATCTAAGTCACAAACAATAGAAGAACACAGTCTGCTGAACATAATACTACACAAACATTAGATGTTGCCATGGTTTAATTGCACATAACATGTAAACATTCACAGTGCACGGAGGAAAAAGTATGTGAGGCCCTAGCTTAATGATACTTCTCCCAGAGCTAATTGGAGCCAGGAGTGAGCCAACCTTGACTCCAATCAGTGTGATGATATTGGACGTGTTGCTGACAGCTGTCCTGCCCTTAAAAAACACAACACTGTTTTGGGTTTACTGGTTTCAAGAAGCACTGTCTGATCGTGACAGTGTGAACCATGCCTCGCCAGAAAAAAGAAGCTATCAGAAGACCTACGATCAAGAATTATTGACACTTGCATGAAGCTGGAAAGGGTTACAAAAGTATCTCCAAAAGCCTTGATGTTCATGTGTCCACGGTAAGACAGACTGTCTAGAAATGGAGAAGAAAGTTTAGCACTGTTGTGCTACTCTCTCCATAGGCGGTGGTCATCCTGTAAAAATGACTGCAAGAGCACAGCGCAGAGTGCTGCATGAGGTAAAGAAGAATCCCAGAGAGTGTCAGCTAAAGACCTACAGAATCTCTCTGGCACATGCTTGACATTTTTGTTGACACATCTACAATAAGGAAAACATTAAACAAGAATGGAGTACAATGGAGGACACCACGGAGGAAGCCATTGCTGTCCAAAAAGAATATTGCAGCACGTTTGAAGTTTAGCAAAAGAGCACCTGGATGTTCACTGCACTACTGGCCAAAATATACTGTGGACAGATGAAACCAAGATTGAGTTGTTTGGGA